CTCGCCCGCCCCGGCCTGGCTCCCGCACGGCCCCGTTCCTCCGGCCTGCTGGGCTCCCGGCCAATCCCGCCCCCTCCAGCGCTGAGACCGGCCAGGACCTCACTGGCTCCCGCACTGCTCTGCCCCCCCCGTTTCCCCCTCGATCAGTGTGACCGCCCCGGGCCTCACTCCCGCACGGCCCTGCTCCTACCCTCTCCCCTGGCCCAGGTGGAGTTGCTTTACGATGGCCCAGCTGAACCCAGGAGCTCTGTGCGGGCTCAGGCCTGCTTCTGCCAGGCTGGGTGACTGGGCTCCAGGGTTCCCACATCTGGCAGGCTTGTGTCGCTGGGGGTCCCCGGCCCCAAAGAGGCACTGGAGCCAGGGCTCTCATCTGTTTTTTTAAACACCAGCTGATTTTTCCTGGTGTCCTGTGTTATTTCTGAATGGTCCCTGCCTTGGGACCTGACCACAGGGGATCTTGCCAGTGGGGTGAGTTGGGTTTAACTGCCTTGTTTAACTGAACTATATAAAGAGGAGCTACTTTGCTGGTTAAGACTTGTCTTTTCCCTTAAATAAGAAACAGAAAGCAGTTTCTAGCTGACAAGTAATTAAGGCCGCTACATATTTAATACACATCTGTGGACTGTGAAGGAAATTATTCAAAAGGGCAGTGATATTTCTGTGTAATAAATGGCCTCTGTTCACTTATAGTATAGAATGCATGTGCCACCTCCCACTCTGCTCCTCTTTGTGTGTGGGCTATAGTCCACGAAAGCTTATGCTCTAATAAATTTGTTAGTCTCTAAGGTGCCACAAGTCCTCCTGTTCTTCTTTTTGCGGATACAGACTAACACGGCTGCTACTCTGAAATCTTTGTGTGTGTAACCAGTGGGAGAGTCTTGTTCTGTTACTCCCACCTCTTCTCTCCACAAGCCCAAATTGGCATGGTACTTGCATGTGAAACTTAAAGCTAGAAGTCGATTTTTGCAAACTGATCTGCTAAATATCTTGAAGCCTCAATTTTGTGGAAAGCGACATTTTGAAGATGCAAAAACTAATCTTTTGAGTAAATAAGCTAGCACTTGGCATGCCCACAAAATGATTTAAATTCACATTTAATAGACTCATAGAATATCAGGGTTGGAAGGGACCTCGGAGGTCATCTAGTCCAACCCCCTGCTCAAAGCAGGACCAATCCCCAACTAAATCTTCCCAGCCAGGGCTTTGTCAAGCCTGACCTTAAAAACCTCTAAGGATGGAGATTCCACCACCTCCCTAGGTAACGCATTCCAGTGCTTCACCACCCTCCTAGTGAAAAAGTTTTTCCTAATATCCAACCTAAACCTCCCCCACTGCAACTTGAGACCATTGCTCCTTGTTCTGTCATCTGCTCCTACTGAGAACAGTCTAGATCCATCCTCTTTGGAACCCCCTTTCAGGTAGTTGAAGGCTGCTATCAAATCCCCCCTCATTCTTCTCTTCTGCAGACTAAACAATCCCAGTTCCCTCAGCCTCTCCTCATAAGTCATGTGCTCCAGCCCCCTAATCATTTTTGTTGCTCTCCACTGGACACTTTCCAATTTTTCCACATCCTTCTTGTAGTGTGGGGCCCAAAACTGGACACAGTACTCCAGATGAGGCCTCACCAATGTCGAGTAGAGGGGAATGATCACATCCCTCGATCTGCTGGCAATGCCACTACTTATACAGCCCAAAATGCCGGTAGTCTTCTTGGGAACAAGGGCACACTGTTGACTCATATCCATCTTCTCGTCCACTGTAACCCCTAGGTCCTTTTCTGCAGAACTGCTTCCTAGCCATTCGGTCCCTAGTCTGTAGCAGTGCATGGGATACATTTGGATAGGTGTTCTGATAGAAGTACAGTAAAAAGGCCTTGATGGACACTTGGGTCTACTGTTAGCCTTCAGACGCTCCTGTTGTACTCGCTCTTTTCCCTCTGATAATGAGCAAATCCTTGGGGTTTTAGTAAGGATCCAGCTTTATGTGGGTGTTTAGAATCAGTTGACAACTTTGCTTCCCGCATAAGAGCTGAGTCTCTATTGCAGCAACAGGGGTGTGTCACTTCCCCACCATTGAATGAAGCCGATGACATGAATTGTTCATTTTGTGTTGGCATTAACATTCATGCTTCCATTCCTTATGCTGCATAATTAGGCTAGGAGCAGGTGCTGTGGGAATTCATTTTTTCTGACAGGTTGCTGTGTTGGAGTGGCTATGGGTATGTCCACACTATGGAGACTATGCTGGCGTAGCCCTGTAGTATAGACATAGCCTACACTAACAAAAGGGGTTTTTCTGTCCGTATGGGAACACACACACACCTGAATGAAGCTGGCATTGTCAATGGAACCCCTCTTCATAGCTTCGTCTACACTGATTGGTATAGCTATAGTGGTTGGGTGTGGTTTTTTTCACACCCCTGACCAATGTAACTTTGCTGATATAACTTCTCAGTGTAGACTGACAGTCAATTTAAATCTTTCTGCTCTACGTGGAGGTTAGTGATCGATCAGATGCCAGCATTTTTAACCCAATGTAACTATCTAAACTAAAAACATAGTAACATGGGAAGGCGGTGCCCTCCAAATACCTTAATTTTAAATTGGATTAATTGTTGTAAGCGGTTGAATATGCTCTGGAGTCGTGTGGGTAATTGTATTGCAAAGTGGTTCTTGAGCAGGCCTCATGCTCTTTGTCTCATCTACATCAAAGTATTACAGTGCAACCTTGCAGTTAGAGTAGGACATTATCTTGTGCGATATGAATCTTATTTGGCAATCCAAAATAAAACAGATGCCGCTTGACTCAGCAGTAAATTACATATTGAATTATTTTATATATCATCTGGATTTTTTTCCCCCTTCTTGACTCCAGGTTATAGACACAGACTTCAGCTGTTCGCTTTGTGGAATAGTCATTATCATTATGCAGTAGATAATAGTAACTTCATAGTGAATATTGCAGGAGCCATTCTATTCCGACCTTATTCCCATTCTCATTTTATCAACATACAAAGCATCTTGTTTTGGAGGTGCTGATGTTTGCATCTGCCCTGTTCTGTCAGTAGGATTGGCAGAATTTGATTTTTTTATTTGTTTATCATTTCAACAGATATCAATGTTTATTTTTAAGCATTTTTATTTAAATTATCACAGTTGTGGGAAATTATGGGAGTGGGTCAGACAATTATTAATGACATTGAGATTCAAAAAGTTGAAGCTTCATAAACAGTTAAAACACATTGTTGACATTGTAAATATCCTCAAACCAACAAATCGTACCTGTTTTTACTATTCATTTGCAATAAACCTAATTTAAAAGTCTAAATCACTGGATTGAGACTGAGTTCTCAGGCAGTATTTTTCTTTCTTTTCCTATATGTAAGTTTATTGATGGAAATACGATGTTGGATTGTGAGTGTGTACAGGGTGAAATCAGCACATACTGATAGGCTTGGAAGGATTAGATTTTTATCTGTCCCCAATGAGTACAAGCTTTGTGTGTTGCTGGCTGTCAACTGTCCATCTGGAGTATGGCTGTGTAGTTAAAAAGGAGGTTGCATAAACTATTGGAAATGCTGCCTTAGTGTGACCAAAACATTCTGTTGTGATGTAGGTTTTCAGCTAGGCTGAAAGTCTGTTATCCAAAGGTTGAAGATTAGTGTTCTAGTTATGGCACTAACAAAGGGTGCTGTGAGTGTCTATCTTCCTCTGAGGCTCTCTACATTTACTTCTTAAAATTCTTCCAGTTGCTCCTACCAGTGCAGCCCCTCTGGTGGGAGCAAGTTAGCGCTAGTGTAGACTGGCTGGTGTTTTGACCATTGTATCATCTAACCCCGATCAGAGCAGTTCCAGACAACAGTGATTAAAAATGCCAGGCACCTTCCCTGCACTAATTATA